TACTCATAGAGAGGATGGGATTTACAGAGCTGGTTTATGACTTAAAACATGTAGGTAGGAGATGCCACAGATTGTAACTATGAAAAAAACCCTGAAATAAAAGACTTGTCAGCGAAGGAAAGCTGCACATCACAAAATAAAACATGGCAAAATTTCAGCACTCTGAATCACTCCTCTAAAAGACAGAAGGAACAACAGCCAGCTTTTTTTTTTTTTTTTTTTTTTTTTTTTTGTAGTGCAGCATCACAACCAATGGTCTGATGATGTAATGAAGAGTAGATACCTCCTACCACAGGCTGAGCTGTAACAAGCCTGCTGCCACAGCAGTTCTTTAACTGTTGGGGAAGTGAAACTGCCCCAAAGGTGTATCAGCAAGATCTGTGTACTGAACAACAGCTGTCAGGGCAGGGCTATGGGGAGAACTAAGTGACTGTGCCAGTGTGCTGGGCGAGCAGCCCAAGAGGCTGGCAAATGTAAAGGTGAAAATACCTCTGAGCACCATAGTGGAGAGGAGCTGTGGGTTTCCTTTCTTTCCTAGAGTGCTCAAGAACCATCAGCATCATAACTGTTCTTCAGCATTACAGGGGAGTTACGAAGGTCTCAAAATAGTAAGGAACAGCACCAGACAGAATCTGTACCCACTTAATTTAATGCTAAGCATTCAAATGAGCAGCTGTTCCTATTCTCCGCACTATTGCTCATCACAGAAACACACTGCCAGTTGGCTTACCTCATTTTTTTCCACCTCAGTTCTAAGATAGTTTCAGCTTTTCACTTCAGAAATACCTATTGTGATTGAGGAGAATAGAGTCTGCATTTATATATTTTTCTCTTGGGTTTTTCTGAAGGAGAGAAGGGCACCAAAACATAAAGTATGTCAGAAGCTGCTGCTTCTCTGCCACAGGCACAACAACTTCCTTACCTCACTGTTCCAGTGCAGCCCTCCAAGGCCTTCCTCCCATATTTGTATTCTAGTCAGCCCCTTCCAAGATATCTTATCTGCTATCAGCTTCCACAGCTATTTTCTCTGATGTAAGAAAACCACACTGTACCATGGTGAAAACTTCTCCTCAAGGAGACAAATGTTCTGCCTTTTGCCCTCCCACCCCATTCTCTGCCAGGCACCCGCACCAGCGTGCTCTCAGTACCTGCCCCTGTTACTGATCATCTCAGCCACATCTGCCAGGCAGTCTCCATTCTCTTACTCAGAGAACCAGCTGAATTGTTGATGTCTTCTCATGTTTTCTATATTTCCATCTATGTTTTCACGTGGGTGGTGCTCCTTCAACCCATCTAATGTCATTGCTGTGTAGTTTTAAGAGCGTCTCCATAGGAAAGCCAAACAGGAGCCAAGGAAAACCTGGCCCAGGCTGTGGCCAGACCACAGTCTCACAGGACCTAAGAGCAGAAGGCAGAGCCAGATGCTGACAACAGGCTCAACTGCCAGCCCTAGAGAGGACAAAAGGAAGACTCAGGGCTTGCACTCATCCAGAGAGACCAGGTTGCAGCAACAGGAGACAGGACCAAAACCAAGGCTTCAACATGAGTTCAAGATCCACCAGGAAACTTGGCTGGAGACAGACTGAGCAACAGGCATGTCCCAAACAACTCAAGTAAAACCAAATCAGGACTCTCTTATGACAGAACAGACAAGTTCCATATTTCTTCATGTAATAAGATCTCGGCCGATGTTGTTCACTCGATGTGAAGTCAACTCTGATTTAAATTATAATATGGGGTGATGGCCCAAGTGATTTGCTTCTTCTTCTGCCCTGATCTTATCTTACGCTGCTTTCATGCAAAGCATCATTTAACTTCACTCAGTTGTACTTTAAAAATGAATATGTAGAAAAAGGGTAGAAAATGTGAGGGCAGAGAGACCAGCCTCAGAGAATGTAACAAACAATACCAAACTGCCTCTAAGATTGTCTGACTGACTCTGAATGTTGATCAGTGTGAAGGAGCCTGATGTTGCTAGATCTGCTCCTCTGCAGTTTTCACAGCTTGCTTGTTTTGGGTGGCATCTTAGAGTCTCTAACTCTCCAGAATATGAGTAAACACATGCAAAACCTTAAAGAGCAGCATTTTATAGTATGAGATGTCTCTGTCAAGGTGAGAGGGAGGAAAGAGAATGCTGTCCCACCCCTTGGTGGGGAATGGGAAGGTGGTTCTTGTTGGAGCCTGACCCACATCCTGATGCCCATCTCCCAGTCTGCAGGAAGCGAATCCAACACACAGAGCAGCAGCACGAGGCTTCTCAATGTATCATGGCCCTTGCTGGTGCTTGAGTTACCCTTAGCTCTCGTACAGCTCTCGTTTCTGGTAGGGATGCCTGAGGACATCTTCAGTCCCCTTTTCAAGAAGTATTCCCTTCCCACCACACAAGCAGCCTTGGTCCAGAGCACGCTCTTTTCACAAGACTAAAATGGGATGGATGGAGTGATAGCTCCATTCCCTTGTGGATCAAAATTGCAAATATGTCACTGAACATCCCAGGAATGAGACAAATAACAACAGTTCCTGCATGGACCAGATTCCCTTCCTTTGAAGCAAAATCCTGGGCTGATCCTCATCGCTGCTCTACCTTCTGGTTAAAAATACCTGACCTTGTGAAACTTCGCAGCTGTCTCTGGGCAGCCAGCCCCTCCCCGTCCAGTCAAACACCCGTGGAGGTCTACTGAGGACCAGGCAGTTCTGCCTGTCTCCACGTGTGCCTGCCCTTGATCTGATATGCCCCTGATACTGGCTCCTCCTATTTTTAATCTTCTCCCACAGCTTGATAACCTACTTGTTATGCACCTACACGGACACAGCACTAACGGGCCGGGGGATGGAGGGCGGGGGCTGGCGCTGGGTGGATGCGGCTGCCATGGGCGGCTGTGTGCTCACCACCACCCTCTCCCTGCCCAGGGGCTGCGGCGCCGCGCTGAGGGGCTCCTCCTCTTGTAGCGCGGGCTGCTGCTCTCCATCTCCAGTGATGGATGGGCTTTGGATGCTGCTCGGGAAGCCGTGGGAAGGAATGCTGTGTGGTGCCGACACATCTCCCCGGGACTGCTGTTTATCGGGGCGGCGGGAAACACGCTGCCGGAATATCGAGCATTTAATAAGTCAGTAAGTGATCAAATAAATCAGCACTTCCCGCACCGAACACAAGCGGTCTCGTTCACCAGCGGGAGGCTGAGCGGCGGCGCTCCTCGCTCCGCTGTCCGCGGTGGTGTAAGAAAATCGTGGGTGAATGGGAAGCTCGGGGTTTCCCTGGCACTCAGCCGTGCAGGCTGGGACTGCGGCTCCTGCCAGGGCGGGGGTGCCGCTGCTGCCTCCACCGGCCCCTCCGCGGCTGCGGGCCGGCCGCACCCGCGGTGTCCGGTCACACCCGCCGCGTTACGTAACCGCTGGTGACAACGGTGGCTTTGGTTATCCCTCACCTCGGGCTGCCACGGGACAGCGCCGTCAGCCCGGGGCTGGGCGCAGGCTGCGCCGCATGAGCGCCCCGCGCAGCCCCGCGCACCGGCAGGGGAGCCCCGCGCACCGGCAGAGCAGCCCCGCGCTCCCGCCGCGGACCCCTCTTGCTCCCCGCAGTGCAGCAGCGCCGAGCGCGGAGGCTCCGCGCCGGACGGCGGTGGGTGCGCGGGGCCGCCCTGGCCGCGCCCAGCCCTGCGCTCCGCGGAGCACAGCGCGCACTGCCGCCCGCACTCGCAGCCCGTTGTCCTGAATGGGAGAGTGATTCCCACGCCCAGTTTGCTCCGAGATTTTCAACAGCTCTATGCCATACAAGCGAGAAGATTCAGTCAGAAGAAAGTGCCTTTTTTTTTTTTAATTAATTTAGTTTATTTACCAGTGCGCCCACCGCACGAGAGGGTGAAGGGGTATCCTATTCAGTCAACTGGGTCCTCCTCACGGCTGGGCAATGGCTCCCTGTTCCCTCCTTTCTTTGAAGCAAACGCTGCTTTTGGGGAACAGGCGATCTAGACTTCACCGGGCTCGCAGGGGTGGCACGGGGCATCCCCGCTACCTTTCTCTCCGTCTTCCCTGTGCAGACCGCCCCCGCTGCCCCGGGTGCGGGGGAGGAAGAAAGGCTGCAGGGGAGGAAGGCGGGGGGGCAGCCGAGGCGGTGCGTGTTCCCCCCGCCGCCCCCTCGCTGCGGCAGCACGTGGTGCTCCCGGGACGCGGGTCCTCAGACGCCCCCCCTGCCCAGCCAGCCAGTCTCCTTCGCGAGGAGCTTTTTATAGCAGCCCCGACCCGCTCCCCGATGGGAGGTTTCTCGCCGCGCTCACGTTACCGTGCGGGTGCGATGTTAAATAAAGGAGGGGGGAAGGAGGGGAGGGGAGTTCGGCGGGCGCCTAATTAAGAGCCGGCGTTAACCAGGAGGGCTAAAAATAGCGCCGAGCGCCGCAAACCACCCAACCGCAGACAGCAAGCCCCGTCGATCCCTGCCGCGCCTCCGCCGGTGAATGGAGCGGCCGGCGCTGAATGGAGCGGCCGGGAGCATGAATGGGGAAGCGCAGCGCGCCGTGAATGGGGCGGGCGGCGGCCGCGGGGGGGAGCTGTGGCGCCGCGCGGCAGCAGCTGGAGCCCCGGCCGCGCACGTGCCGGCGCGGGGGCGGCTCGGTGTCACCTGGCGGCAGCGGTGGCGGCGGGCGGGGCGGCGGCGCGGGCGGGCTATAAAAGTGTCCCGCCGCGGCACATGCACACTTCGGGGAAACTTCCTGCCGGAGTGCCGGCCGCCATGGGAGGCGCGCCCGCTCCCGCCTGCCCCGCTCCGCCCTAGGGTGGGCAGTCCCGCGGCGCAGGGCGGCCGCCGCCGAGACCCCCGCCCCGACCTGAGCTGCCCCCGCCGGACGCGGCGCGGGAGGGTCCCGCCGGTACCCGGTAGTGCCCTGGGAGGTTCGGCGGCAGGATGAGAGTGAACGAGAGCGAGCTGAACAGCTCCGTCCTCCCGCGGGACCCGCCGGCCGAGGGCGCCCCGCGCCGCCAGCCCTGGGTGACCTCCACTTTGGCCGCCATCCTCATCTTCACCATCGCGGTGGACCTGCTGGGCAACCTCTTGGTCATCCTGTCCGTGTACCGCAACAAGAAGCTGCGAAACGCGGGTAAGGGGCGGCGGGGAGGCCCGGGGGCGCTGCCCGGGCTGGGGTGGGGGGGGTCCCGTGTGCCCGGGGGGCAGCGCCGCGGCTGCTCCGTCTGCCGGAGAAACTTTCCCCGAGCGCGGAACTCCGGGCTGGGCTCCGAGTCTGCATCCCCAGCTGGCGGCTACAGGCTGTGGCAGATGCCAAGAGCTCCGTCTTCCCTGCCGAGTCGGTAATCGAGCGGGAAAGGGTATTTTTAGCTCCCGCCACTGAATCCTGGCGCTATTTTTAGCTCTCGGCAGTTCCCACCTAGCAAAAGAGGATGGCAAGTAAGTCGCATTTAAGAATGAGATTGAGACACGGTACCGGGGATGCTGCCTTGGCATACAGTGTGTGTCTGTGCATGCTGGATGCTATTCTTCTGATTGATTTTCTTTGAGTTACAGAAATGTCTTCAGTAACAAATTCTATGGTTGGAGCTTCAAATCAAGCGAATGCGAAGTTATAAACATTGCAGGATTCAGACAGTTCCCTCCCCCCACCTTTGTTCGCCTCCTACTTGCTGTCTAGGTCTTTGGGGAATGGAAAGCATCTAACAGAAAACAGCTTTAGGCACTTTTTAAAAAAATCAGTCTCTAATTTTGACAGGATAGAATCTGTGCTGGTCTGTTGAGTAAATCCCTCCTAGTTCATGGATTATTGGTCAGACAGGCAGGAACTTCTTCAGATACATTCTGCTTTATCATGTCAGACCAGCTGCTGCGCACGTGTACCAAATCTGTGCACTCCAAACCCTATGCATCTTTCATTGAAAAAAATACAGGAGCATGGCAAGAGAGCTGTACTGGTAATGAAAGCAGAATTTCACTCCATGACAACTGAGAAGCTGCTTTTATTTTTTTCACAACTGGGCTGTCAAGGTCTCCATTACTACTGCACTGAGTTCATTAGTTAATGGCTTAAAATTCATCTGAGGGGGAACTTGAGCCTGGGCTTTGAGCTAGCCTAAGAAAGGTATCTAGTACTGGACTCTGGGAGACAGTGGCATGCTTGTCTTTCTGAGGTTAATTCAGGTAATTCTAGTGGATTGTCTGCTTCAGTTTCATTCAGCCACAGTGGAATGCCACACACAAGATCAAAATGAAGAATAACAGATTTTAATTTTTTTCCTCTCTACAATTGCCACTGTTGTAAATTCTGAAAGCTCTGTTATCTTCATGCTTTCATTGGCAGAAATTCCATTCACTGGAGTTTGCAGGGCAACACGTGCCTGTAATTGAGAGGAGGCTCCAACTCCATAAGTCCACTTGAGCACTTGACTACCCTTGTTCCTTGGAAGACTTTTAGACAGAGGGAGAAAGGGTTGAGACAGGCATATTACTTGAGTTACTCTAGGGGAATGGGTGATATTCTCCACTTCCTTAATTAATAAATCTGTGCCTTGGCACTTCTGTGGGTAGTTTGCAATACGGACAAGTCTGAAATAAACGTGGTGTCTTTTTCTGGAGACATAACTGAACGCTTGGGCTCTGTGTGTGCCTGTCTCTGCTGTAGATGTCATGTAATCCCTCCTGAATCTCAACATGTGCTCACTTTTGCTGCATTTCTTGTTCTTGCCTTTTCTGTCAATAGTGACTGTTAAGAGCTGCAATAAACTGGCAACAGCTAGGAGAGTAGAGCATTCTTCTGAACATAAATTGTTTGAGACTGGAACATGAACTAGATACTGCTTGACCCTCTGAAACTAAGGATTAATTAAAACAAGTACATACTCGGTACAATGTGGTGATTAGTTTATAGTGTTGATTTAGGAGAAAAATAGGAGCAAGCTTTTAAGGCTCTTAAGTTTGAGGGGTTTTCTCTTTAAAATATGCGGGGGGGGGTTTAGTAAATGGGTTAAAGGAATCTTTGGAAATAACACAAGTTTTAAAAAGGTGTTGTAATTGTTCTTGACTAATCCTGCAAAAACCTGTGCCTGGGAATAACTATTTGTGTAAGCACCACCATTTAATTGGGCCTTCAATTAGGACTTGCTCAGGCAAATAAATTTGTAACAGGAAGTAAGACCCTGGCCTAATATTGTTAAGTTTGAAGACTAAAGTCTCCCAAGTCTTGTTTTTCCTAATTCAGATTATTCAGGAAGAGATTACATTGAAAATAATCTGATTTATCCATACAACTATTTTGTAACTTGGTAATGCCAAAGGCAGTTACGACTTTTTACAGAAATGTAATAAGAAAGAAACTTCTACTTTTGCAACAACTTTTATTAATTAAGTCTTGCTGGCACATTTATTGAGGAAAAAGGACACAGGATGAAAATTCCACTGGAAAAAGGTCAGGGAGGAACAGAAGATACCTCCTGAAGAAAATGTATCTCACTGAAGATTTTTCTTCCCTCTTTGCAAGAGAGGACTAACAGAAATAAAGAGTATTTAACCCTTTCACAAAAAGGTGGATTTGGTGGGGGAAATCATCTTTCATCTCTGTCCTACTCTCTATTATATACATATGTATTGGAAGATACTACAAATTGAACCTGTGGACTTACAATTTAAAAAGTGCATTGGGGAATAGTAGGAAGGCCTAGAAAAACCTTCTCAACAAGTGGTGTAACCTTCCTGACAGTCAGAAGGTTAGTAAAAGACACTGATCAAAGCAGAGAAGTCAGTAACTCAAAGAAGTTTGTCTCAGCAAGCGAGGAGTGTCTGATACTACAGACTCCTTCATAGGCACAAGCATGGCTTCAATAGATGCTCTTCTAGACACAGAAGCTGATGATGCAACTGGTAGGATCCTCTTTTATTTAATGTACTTGACTTGTAATAAGTTTCATAGTTCTGGTCTGTTATTTCTTTTATGGTGGCTTGTAATCCAAGAGGTGCCTGACACCAATTCAGTCCTGATGGGAACAGCTGCAATTTAAAGCTGACCTACACAAAGACTGAATTTGGTTTATGATATCTGTAATCTTTTAACTTTGAAACAAAGTTCAAGGGAAACATTCAAGGCATAAGGATTTTAATGACCATATCTTGGTAGCGTATTCATGCAGCTTGAACTTTAAACTGATGTGCCTTCTTTAATAGCCAATTTTCAAAAAGAATGAGAACAGATCATTTTAAAAAGAAGTTTTGTGTAAATCCTTGTCTCATTTACCCTTATAAATATTCATAGATCAGAAATAAGGTCATTCAACAGATCCACCCTCGGAAGATGCAATAACTAGCCTTAGGGAAGGTGTATTAAGAACTGTTGGTACTTTTAACGAGTGGAATTTTTACTTGAAACTGTCAACATCAAATCAGAGCATCTCAGAAAACTGAGGAGATAATTTAAGTGATCTATGTAATACTACAGACAAATTTGTTGATTGCTGGTATCCTTATGCCTTTGTTGTTACCCACACCAAGAAAAACAATGCATCAAGAACAAGGTGAGGGAGCAGTTCTAAGCCTTTGACTATGGAGATTAGTTTTCTGCTAGTGACATTAAGATGTCAACACACACCTGTTCTTTTGGTGACAGGTAGATTTGGGTATTCAGTGACTGCAGGACTGGACCATTCTTAAAGTCAGTGAGGAAAGTTTTCTTGAATGGTATTACACCTCTTGCTCTTCTTGCTCTTCCTTTTGAAGCCGCTCTCTTGGCCTGGTGGGTTGCTTTTTTTCTGGGTGTTTGGTGTGCTGAGGTCCAGAGGCTCCCTGGCTGCCCCCTCCAGTGGAGTGCAGTGCGGGAAGGGAGGCCCAGCAGCCTCACTCCTGTGTGCCTGTCCTGTCTGCTCACACTTGGCATGGGCTGGGATGATCCAGGGACTGGTGCCAAGCTGGTGGCTAGCACCTACTGAATCAGGGCAGAAAGCTGCTTCTCACCAATCTCTGTTCTGTGCTAGGTGTAGTTGGGTTTTTGTACATTTTTCTAGTTTTCCATGTCCTTGGCCCAAGTGTTTTGTTGCTAAAACTTTGTTACTAGTGAAGAAGGCATAGAGGAAGTTGGACATTGCTGAGGCCCCGGGGCCCTGGGCAGCAAGATGCAGTTAATTTCACTAGGACTGCACACATGCTTAAACTTACCTACGTGTGGTAAGTGCTTTTCTGAATGAGATGGCAGTAACAAAGGGAAAAAACCCCAATGTTTGCATGCTCAATCTGCCTCACCTGCTTTAGATCCCAAGAGTTCTGTGAAGACAGCTCTGAGTGCTCAAAAGAATACAATGAACTCAAGGGTAATATTGAGTAAGGGTAATCTCTCTAAAATCTCTTGAGATCAGTGAAGTCACTCTTGAAAGAACTAACTAACACAGCTACTTATGATTTTTTTTTTCATTCTTTGCTGAATAATACAACCATTGCAGAATTAGGGTTGGGAATCTATCAGTTAGAATTTAATTTTGGAGGCTTTTCAAACTGGCCCTGGATTTTGATTCAAGCGGTGTAAGAATCTAGTTGAAGAGTGCTCCTCTCTTAATGCATTTTCTAGAATAAAAATTTTAAAAATAAGGATGGAGCTATCTTTTGATAACCAGATTGGAGATATCATCAGCCTTTTCAGAAAAATGTTGTTCTTGATGATGTTTTGTTTTTTAGTTTTAAAATTATAATATTAAATGCTCTAGTAAAGATTTTTTTATCTAATAAATGAAATTCCTTTTGTGAATTGAGACTAATGAAATCCTTCTTTTTGTCACAGGTGAACCTTGGACTTCATTTTGTGCCCTGAGAGACTGTGGGTAGCCCAACAAATCCTTGACACAAGGAAGAGAGCTTAGAAGATCAAGTTATAGCAAAAATTCAGGGTTCTGATAAAAACTGAGATATTGATGGCAATGAACATTATTTCAGAAATTAATAACTTCCAGTATTAAAAATGGTAAGCTGGTTGGGAGAAGGGGAAAATGTCTAGAGGAGATGCTGAATTTTGCCAATTGTTGAACAGAAGTGAGCATAAAAATACAGTTTCAATAAAGTTGTTCCTCAGACCGGTTTTGATTGAATAATTTACTGAATCAAAAATTTACTTCAAAGGCTTATTTAAATGATACTGTGCTGTTAGTGACCTAAAGGTAGAGGTGAGTATTCCAAATAATTAATAATTTATTCTTACTAACGTGTCTGCCAAGCTCAGGTATTTATTCTTTTTGCAAGATTCTGCATTTTGAAGTTTTTAGAGACATTGCTTTTTCTAGTGTAGCTGCTGCCAGTGGGCAGTGATACTCATATGCTCTACTCTTTGCTGTCTCTTTTAGGTTATTTTTGAGGAGTTTTTCCTTTTCTCATAAAGTTTTTTTATCTTTAGTTTTTTCATTAGCAATATCCAATTTGCTTCTGCTCTTCTCTCTTTCCTATTTCTTTTCATGCTATCCAACTTCTTTCATAATACAGATACTTCATGTCTTTCCAGCGGTCAGACATCAGCAAGTCTAGGTTAGTGACAGAAAATGCTACCAAGAGAAGGCATCCATTGCTGGGGTGGCAATGTCCATTCTGTTTCTCAGGTCAGGCCTGCTTTCCTAGGGCAGTAAAAACTTTGTGGTGTCAATGCAATGCTAGGCATCACAGTTTAGTTTTGCTATGTCAATAAGAACTTGTTCCCTTTGCTGCTGGCAGTTTTTCTCTTCTAGTCACATCTCTGAGCTGTCTTAAATACCATGTTTCCATTCCTGAGAAACAATTACAGACCTCTGTTTCAGGAGGACAGGTGTTACTAAGATTTCCTCAAGATAACAGAAAACATATTGCTAACAACGCAGAAAATGTTTGCTTATTGAATGAACAAATGAACATGTATTTAATGTGTGTAGTTAAATAAAGCTTGGGACTATAATATAAGTGCTGCTACTAAAAAATCCAAAATTCTTTCCAAATCTAGCCCTCCTAAAGTCACAGGTAGACAGGTGGGATGATCAAGGTTTCAAGTAGAACAGCATCTGAAAGTAATCAGCAAAGCTGTTTACAACATTTAGATGGTAACTTCTGTAGTTTTGTGGTAGTCACTGACCAGCATGTGTAAAAAGTTTCATGTTCTATAGGTTAATGAGGAGACAGACTTCCATTCCTTTAAGAAACACTTAACACCAGAAGTAAAAATTTTCAGCTCATTCTTTTAATTTTATGAATTTCCTAATACAGTACCAGGTTGTATAGTTAGATATGCTTTTTGAAGAATAGGTGTTAGACTACTGGTCTTCATAAAAATTCAGGTCTTGGTTATATCAGAGAATCCTGTACTTGAGTTGGGAACTTGAATTTGTTTGGGTTTTGGGCAGGATGGTGGGTTGGGTTTTCTTGGGGGTGGAAGACTCATCTTTACCATTGCAAGAATTTCACTAAAGTCCTTCAATGCTTCATATGGACTCTGTGTCCTTCCTGAGAACCCCTGTTCTCTAAAATGAGAGACAATAGAACCAGCCAATTTTAGACACTTATATGCATGACCAAGAACTGAAATTCTCTAGTCGAACACAGACTAAGCAGCTGGAAAGGTTTATGGATGTTTTCAGATAAATTATATTTTCAGTTAACGCCTTTAAACTGACTGTTCAGTTACCTTTATTGTGGAAGTTGGACTGCATACATACTTTTTTCATCTAGGCCTACAGAAACCCCATTCAGCATGATGTGTACACGGTATTCTGCTCATGGTGCTGAAGTATAAGGGCTGTTTTTGTCATATCACATGGGGTTGTTTGTTTGTTTGGGGTTTGGTTTTGGCTGCAGATGCAAAGTTAGCAAAATTGATTTGTATTCAGGGAGAGGTCACCAAGCAGAGGTGGTTTGCCCCTATGCTGACAGAGGTCAGCTCCATGCTTGGTTTTGAGGTCAATGGGACTTCTTTTTTCATCAGCTGTTTCAGCTGCACCAAGTAAAAGCCTATTGAGGTTCTAGTGCAGCTGCCAGAACTTTGTTACTCAGCCAGACAAGTGGCTAGCTCTGTGGAGATGAACCAAAGTGGTGAGTGGGCATGAGTACAGGGATCAGCTTTGAAAATTGATATCCAGTCACACCATGCAGAAGTTCCACCAAGTCTTTGCATGCTGGGAAAAAATGATGAGTATTCTTTTTCCCCAGTAGTGTCTACAGGTTTCATTTTATGTTTCTGTTTTCCAGAATGACTGATAAACAGTTTTCTACTCCTTAGTTTAATTTGATTTTTAAGGATGTTGTCATCTCCCTGTCTGTATTTGGGAGACATTTTTCATTTTCACAGGTGAAGGAGTCTAGTACAGCTAGGGTGTGACATTTTTAATAGGAGTACTTTGAAAATATGGGAGTTGCATACTATGAAGATTCAAAGTTTGCATAAATACAAACTAATAATTTACTTCAGTTGTATTTTTCTTTTGGATGAAGAATTCATGCTCTTTATTTAAAGTTAAGGCATATTAATGTAAAATACACAATCTTAATTATAGTAATTATTTACATTAAAGATGTCTCCAGATTATCTCTGACAGTGTAATACTGAGGTCTGCCTTCTGGAATTTGAGTATTGCAATGTGCACCAACTAACATGCAGGTTCACATAATATTAATCTACTTTTTAAAACCTAGGTTCTTCCCCACATTACCATTATTCCATATTACATCTCTGAACCTTCCCTGAATCTGTCACTGAATTAGCTCTCACTTTGAACACAGGATTGAATGGGACCTTTTCAGTCATCAAATACAACTTTCAGGTGTTGTGAGTGTTCATAGAAATCCTTTTGGAATCACCTTGCCCCAGCTGAAGAAGTGTTGATGCATTGGATGATGGCTTAGTGAGGTTTTGGGTGCTGCATGAAGTGTTCAAGGCCAGGTTCAGTGATGCTTTGAGCAACCTGGTATAGTGGAAAGTGTCCCTGCCCATACCAGGGCATAGGAACTAAATGATCTTTAAGGTCCCTTTCAGCCCAACCTATTCTATGATTCCTATTGCCTGGGTGTTTTCTGTCAGTTTACATGCTTTTGCCTTTGTACCAATATTACATAGCATTGCTATTCCTGTAACGAGAATAAAAGTATCACCTCTTGGCTGTTGCTTTGCAAGTCAAAGGGAGGTTGATAGATTAACTGAATGTGATTTCTACAAAATCACCTTTACCCTTTGCAAGGAAGCACCATCTCCAGAAGTATGCCTGATCTCTGGAAATAACTTCCCTAAAAGTGAAATCCTGGTTTTACTGAAATCAATAGCAAATCTCCTGCCAAGGTCCTGTCTTGCTTCACTTTTTGTCTCTGCAGTACTTGCCCAGTAAGTAAGAAGGCTGATGTACTGCTCATAGCCCTAAACCCTAAGTCTGGTAAGCAGAGAAGTCTTCCATAACTCTGGAGCTGGAATAGGATTTTTGTTGGATCACTGATAGGGTTGTAATAAAGTTGAATACAGGTAAGGGTCATGAGTGCCTGACCTATATGTCCTGAGGCGGGTGCATTGTAGGAAGCCACTTACAATTTCATGTATAGTAGGTATGCAAGCTTTTAAGTCTGGAAATTGATGCTTCAAGAGCACACTTGGGAGTAAAGAAAACATGAGACCACCAATGATTGTTACTTTGCAGGGTAACAAATGGGAATTATTACTTAGGACAAAGATAGTTTTACGTGTACTAGAGTTGTCTGGTCAGATCACACAAGTATATTCTTGATATATTTGTCCTTTTCTACTTTCTAGGAACTCTTTATTACATTCATTAATCTGAGTAAATTGGGGGTTTGCCGTTGTAGATGTATAGATGGGTGTTTCTGTTGTGAATCGTATCATGTGTATGATGTTCCTTTGGAAATTTCTCAGTCTGGCTGTCTGTGACCACTAATTTTTCAGTTGTTTTTTTTTTTTTTTCCCCTTGTCTGAAGAACTGTACTGTTGAGAATCTCTTCAGTGCTTGTAAACCCATCTTATTCTCCGTTCCTGATGAGGTAACACATTCCAACATCTGTCACTAAGGATTGTCATGGCATTGGCTGTGTCTTGTCTTGGGTATGTACAAAACCACATTTGTATTAAAGCACATGTAAATCCTACTGATTTTTACCATGTTGCAGAAGTTATTCAAACCAAAGGTTACTTAATTTTGTGTAGTTTAGGTTTATGAATTTACAGATACTCATACATCCAGAAATATTTCCTCTAATTTGGTGGTTTTTGTAGAAAGACCTTTTCATTTAACCTTTTTTTTTTCCTACTGCAGCATCTGCTGGCACATTTTAACTCATAATTTTGTGTATTACTTGTGGATATACACACTCCAGAAATTAGTCTCTCATACACAGGAGAACAATATTCAGCATTTCTGAGGGGAGGGAGGACAGTAATCTTTACCTTTGCAGCACCTAGACACAGGTGGTGGCTTTAATTCTTAGGATAAATTAGAAGAATTTTGTTTTTTTTTTTTTTTTTTTAATTCATGGTTGTTGAGACAGCTTCCCATGGGAATTTTTGTATTCATGAGTGTCATGTACACATAATCTTCATTGGACAAGCTCATTCTAACTGTTCTGGATGGAAACTTTCAGGACTACAGAGTTAACAAAGTAATCCTCGTCAAGCTCAGTAAAAGAGCTTTTCATCTCCTCTGTATACTGGTAAGTATGGAGAAAACAACAATTTATGTCTTAGCATATATTAAATATCTAATGTAGAGCTCAAAATGCATCAGATTTTCTTGCTCTTGCAGCAAAGGTTTTTGAACAATTTTTTGGCAGATAATTGGACATTTTGTTTTCACTTACAAATTTGTGTAGATACTGTTTTTTTTGCAGGTGTTCTTATTTCTCTTGCCCCTTTAGTGCATCCCACTACTGCAATGCCTGATAATGACTATGAACATTTTGTTGGTTGGTGGGAAACTGCCTTGATTTTCTTAATTTTTGTGGCACAGTAATTGTCTC